TCTTACCCCCACCCCAATGCCAGCCTCATTCTACAACAGTGGCACCATATAGCATTTGTCCCTTTGTGACTGAGATACCTCACTCAGCATAATGTCCTCCTGGGTCACCCATTTTGAATAAGATTGCATGAAAGAGTGTTTATTTTTGAGTTGCCAGATTAATTACTAGAGCAAGTGACTTTCTAATCATGTTTCATTCCAGAGATTTTGGAATTCCAAAAGAAATTTTCAAACTAATTATTGACAATTGGAAGTTCAAATTTTAATTCTCTGTATGAGTCTTTTACGTCTTTATACTCATAAAACTATGAATTTTATATTTGTAATGTTTATTGAGAGTTTTTCGTTCAGTTTCTTTTTAAAGGTTTGTGATAATGGACACAAAGAATGTAAATAATCATTCCAGAATAGTCCCCTTGGTATTCTAAATGGTTAATGTTCTTGGCTCCTATCTTCAAGCTTGACACTTAAAGTCTGCCTGCAGTCACCTGGGAAGAATGAATTGGCTGTCTACATCCTAAAAAATTAGTCCTTAAAAACCCTTTAAAACACATTTCTACTGTGATGCCAGTGGGATTACCATCATCAGAAATGACTCAGTAAATGTCTCCTCTCGTCCCCATGCAAATCCTTAAACAGTACATCTTTAATGGAAGTAATAATTTTGTCACTGCTTATGTAAATTTAAGGAAGCTCTGATGGCATAGTCCATAGAGAGTTGTGTCACCTAAAGGCGCATTTGGTGGTTTGAATCCACCAGTGGCTTTGAGGGGGAAAGATGGGATGGTCTCCTCCCACGTGATTTATAGCCTCAGAAAAACCACTAGAAAGTCAGCTATGAGTCAGTTCTGACTCAGTGTCATTGTGCACTTATGCCAATTTAAACTTTAAAATTCGTATTTTTGTTAAATCTTTCTACAGTTATTGTTAGTCACTTTTAGGTAATACTTTTGGTATTAAAAAAGCATTTTGATCATCATTCATAGTACATATTGTATAGACTTATGTTTTTCCTCACACATGAAACACTGGGTAAAAGAGAAATGCTAAGAGGAGTTGTTAGAAATTTTTTCTATTTTATGAAAGAATATTTAAGTGATAACTTTCCAGAGATATACTTAACCATATTTACCACTACATAGAAAACTATAACTTAATTTTATATATATGAGGTTATGTTGACCTTGGCTAACCTAATGATGCTTCTCACTAGTATCTTGGAAGAGATACGTACCTTAAGTATGTATTTAAGGTTCTAGTTATTTGGTATAACTTTGTATTAAGTCACCAATGATCAGATATACTTTTATAATATATTGCTCTCTTTTTTAAAAATTGCCATAGCGTAGTGTAATTACTGTGACTACTTTTAAGTACCAAAAAAAATCTTGAGAATATTGAACTTCATTTAGAGATAACATCCTTTCATACTGAAAGGTAAATCTAATATATTTGTGTATCATTCATTTTGTTCTTCATTGATTATTGTATACAGCTGTTTATATACAGAAGCTAAAATTTTTATAGCATGTTAGAAAATTGAAATAGTTTTTACAATATGTTTAATTATGTCAAGCTCTCCAGGTCATGGTTATTTTAACAGCTTTGAGACTTTTATAATACAATCTACTTGTTTGAGGAGCTATTGAGTTTGGATATATTTTCTTTGAGATAGTAAAAATAGATAATATGACATTTGAGACTCCCAATAAAGATTGTTTAAATACATTGAGAATGAGCTATCACTATTATACCAGATTGCTTTGAGGAGTTTAAAATGAGTTTCTAACACTTAACGGAATCTATTGTTACTGCCTTTGGTTCTTAATGTGACTTAAACTCCAAGTAATGTAAGAGCAACCCACTTTTCATTTAAAAAAACCCTCAAACCCTCAAAGATTGATAGCAGAAGAAGATACTGAGTGCTGCTTCATTTTTGAGAAAGGTGGGGAGAAAAGCATAGATAAAACACAAATACTATGGTAGAAGTAACATTTTGGTTAGAGAAAAATGTAGTATAATGAAGATAAATGAAAACCTAGTTGACAACAGTATTTAGGACTCTGAATGCTAATAACATAATGTATAAGTTGTCAACCATTATTTAAGCTGTTGTCACACTTAAATCTAGGCTGTATGGAATGCAATATTGGTCATTTATGGAGGATATATTTTATTAAAGGAAAATGTAATACTATACATAAAGGAAAATGTAATACTGTACACAAAAACATTTTTTTTCCAGTGGATATACAAAACCTGAAAGTAAAAAAGAATAGTGTGCCTAAAAGTAGAACATTATAATTGGTTAATATTTGTTTTGTTTACAGTTCAGTGTTCCAGATGATCTTTTACCTTGTTTCTTAAACTGAAAGTTTAAGGGAAAAAATACACTATAGTTTCTATTAGAATCTGTCAAAAATATTTCTAAGACATTATTATATAATTATTTTGTTGAATATATGTACTATACTTTTTACACAATTAATGCACATATTTTACTTCTTTTTAATGGTAAAATTCCCTTGTGCACTAATTTGCAATGCATGCTTGGTATGTTATGTGTGAGTGTGTAATATATGAAAATATATGTTGTTGTTGTTGTTATGTGCCATCGAGTCGCTTGCGACTCATACTGACCCTATGTACAACAGCCCTAAACTCCGCTCTGTCCTGTGCCAATCGCACTGTCTCTGACACTCCCATCCCAATAATCCCAGTCACTGAATCAATCCAGCTCATAGAGGGCCTTCCTCTCCTGCGCTGTCCCTCCACCCTCCCAAGCATGATGTCCTTCTCTAAGGACCGGTCTCTCCTCACAACATGTCCAAAGTATGTTAGACGGAGCCTCAGAATCCTTGCCTCCAAGGAGCCACCCGGTTTAACCCTTTCCAGGACAAATCTGTTTGTTTTCCTAGCAGTCCATGGTATTCTCAATACTCTTCTCCTGCACCACAGCTCAAAGGCATCAATTCTCCTTCTATCATCCCTGGTCAATGTCCAACTCTCTGATGCATAACAAGTGATTGCGAAGACCATGGCCTGTATCAGACGCACCTTAGTCTCCACAGAGACACCATTGCTCTTCAGTACTTTGGAGAGGTCCCTAACAGCAGACTTTCCCATGGCAATGCGCCTTTTAATTTCCTGGCTTCTGGTGCCAAGGCTGTTGACTGTGGAGCCAAGCAAACTAAAGCTGTGTATAATCTCAATCTCTTCATCCATCCTGATGCTGCCAATTGGTCCAGTGGTGAGAAAATATATAGATACATATATATTTATTTTCTATAGCACAGACATACTGTAACCTCAGATGTAATACCCAGAATGTTGTCCTTCTAATAGAGAAATTCTAATTTAGACTTATGATCTTTGTACCCTTAGTTTTGTAAAGTAGTCCTTGACCTGTATCTGTGAGTTATAATATGTGACCCTGTCTATTAAAAATAGTCCTATAGTACAAAAGAAACCTACACATAAATTTTTTTAGAAATTGGAGATGAGAGTTAATGATGATTTTGCAGACCTAAAAAATAGTGTTTCAAAAACTCCATTGTCAGTGTTAATTGTCCGCAGAGTTACATATTTTCAAATATATGGTTTATGAAGATTTAAAAAGTAATAGAGAAAAACACATGCAGTAATGAACACCAACACCATTCTTCTATTTTTCATTCCCAGCGTCGTATACCATATGATTATTTGATTCAGTATTTCCAAAGTTAGTCATTCTCACTAATGCTTAGTATGTCAGTATTCATGTGTTCCATTTCATTTTTCACAATTTTTAGTTTTTCAACATTCAGATTACATATGAGTCTATGTTCCAATTAAAGGGTATCTAGATTACATATGAGTCTATGTTCCAATTAAAGGGTATCTGCCATTTTTTCCCCTTTTTCCCCTCATTTCAAATAATTTGGGTTTTACCACTACTTCTATAACTATCCACGTTCTTCTACTGTTTCAGAGACCTGCTATTTAAGAAGTGGTTTGCCAATCCTGCTTCCTAGTCTGTCTTAATTTATGAGCTCTATTAAAATCTGCCCACCATGGGTACTTTTTGTGGCAGTAATGAAAGCAGTGAATATTTTTTAATATTCTTGAGAGATTCTGATGGAAACCTATAGAGTCTTTGAACTTTCAGTACAGGAAGGATGACAATTAGGAAAAAAGATCATCTGAAACATTAAGCTAAAAACAAAATCAGCCAGTTAAAGATTTTTGCTTTTAGGCTTAATCACACATACATTAGTACATTTGTATGATAGCAATTCATTTAATAAAATTTTAGAGTTTTGGAACAAAAAAAAATAAAAGGATAGAATTAGTTAATCATTAGCTTTGGTCCTTTAGTTGCACAGTTTGCATTTTACTCCTAACCTAAAGGTTGGCAGTTCAAACCATAAGCTTAATATGAAATAATCATGTGACTTGACTTCTGAAAACTTTAGTCTTATACTTAGACATGATAGCTACTACTGTTGAAAAACTCCCTTGTGAAAGAGGGAATAGAAGTATTGAAGGGGAAGATGGTTTTTGTCTACCTATGGAATCCACTCATTCAGTAGGTGACCTAACAGCTTTTATTAGCAGAAATATTTAAACCAAAGTTAAATAACTATTGTAAAAATTATGGTAATGTTGGGTAGAAAATTAAATTAGTAAGAGATCTAGGGGCTCTTTTAAGCCATAACATCTCATTTTGTTATTTCTCATAGAACTTCTCTATCATTGGACACTTTGGAAAAATTGTAAGGGAGGACATGGTGTTGAAGAAATGAGCACCAGACTGTCCTATTTCAGAGTTTTCTTTTAGCTCCCCACACACCTGGTAAAGAGCTCTGGTTACCTAGTGGTAAGGAGTTGGACTGCCAACTCAAAGTCAGGCAGTTCAAATCCATCAGCTATGGGACAAAGATGGGTAATCTCTCTCATGCAATTTATAGACTATGAGAACCCACTGAAGGGTCACCTATGAGTTAGCTGTGCCAACTCGGCAGCATACAACAGTAACACACTTGGTACACAGTGGGCTCTTAATGAATGTTGAATGACTGAGTTCAGATTCTGTCTCTCACTAACTAGCCATGTGGAACTGTTCACCTAATCCTTTATCTGTTTATACATCCATAAAATAAGTAGAGTTGGAGTAGTTTCCTCAAGTTCCAACATTCTGTTTCTTAGATTTTTCTCTTTGTTATTTTTTCACTTGAAGCGATTCCAAGGCTTTGGAGTTTTAATAAATAATGACCATATTGCTGTAATTTTGAAAGTCAGCTGATTATTTTGAAACTTATTTTGGAATTTATTATTTTTTTTGTTAAAGTTTTTGCTAAGAGTCCTCACCTTTAAAATTTTGTAAAAGACGAATGTCTTCGGGCTGAGGCACTGTTGTCATGCAGTAGAATATTTTGTAGAATTAAATATTTAAGATTTTAAAATGGTTTGTAATGATGTAGGGCTAGCTAACGTCCATAACTGCTATTAAAATTGCATGATATTTGTGAAAATTAATAGATTGTTTTTTGCAATTATTAGAAATATTGACAGATGAAACTATGTGTCCCTTTTTTATACTTTCCTGTTGAGATATAGCAGGAATTTTTATGGTTGAAATTTAAATAATCCTAATGCATTGCTTCCTTAAGTTATAGAATTAAAAAAATTAATATGAATTAACCATTAAATGATACTTGTGTAGTGTTTTATAATTTACACTTTCTTCACGGATAGTTTTCATTTGAGTTTTACAGTAAACTAGAAATTAGTGTAGGATTTGCACTCTCATTAAAAGTGAGAAAATAAATCTTGAGAGGTTAAATAACTTTAATCACACAGCTTCATAGCAAGAAAAGAAGAAATTTAGCTCTTTTGACTTCCAGTTAGTATATTTATCCTCTGCATCACATTGCCTCTATCTAGCACCTATTTCTTTACTAATTGATGAAATTGTAGTGTGTTAAATTGTCTCTTGATACTTCACAGCTGGCAGACACACCAAAATCTGAAAGATATGAGCATGTTCTGGAGGCATTAAATGATTACAAGACCATGTAAGTGGATTTATGTATCCCTTTGAGGGAGATACTTAGTAAGTATAAGGAATAAGAGCACAGTTTAAGAATTCTGGGACTGATATGTAGAAATCTAGTACATTCCATTTTAAACTTTTAAATGCTCTGTTCTCTTCTAGATAGAATAAAGCAATGATACTTGGAAAAAGGAGAAGCAGTCCTGGGCATGGTGGGTGGGAAGCATAGCAGTATCTTCATGGGGAATTGGAACTATTCAGTTGAAAAAGCATATTTAGTATTGTGTTTTCTCTATAATGCATTGTACTGAAAAGGAGAAAGTATTGTTGACTGGTGGGAATGTGTAAAATATGGGAGAAATATGGGTGTGGCACCTATGGTTTCTGAGATTAAATATTACCATTAGTGTTAGAAAAGTAACAATTCTGATCTAAGATTCTTAATGTTTTGATGTTTAAATAATGTATTTGAAATAGTCTTTTCTAGATCTTTGCTTTTTGTAAAACGAGCATTTCATTTCTTGAAATTACTTTCAAAATGCAATAAAAAATTTTTCTAAACATAAATGCTAGCTCCAGCCAACTCTTGAATTGTAATTTTTTTGTTTTAGAAGAATTGCTGTTTTGAACTAGATTGCATTTCTTCATTAATGTTACCAGTGGCTAGATCTTTGGGGGAAAAATAGGGTACCTGAGCAATTACTCTTGGTAAAATGATTTAATAGTACAATTCTGTTTCAGAAATATATTGTGTTCTGTCAAGGTAGAAATGGGGGCCCTTTTTTCTAAATTTTACATAAAGGTAGTACAGTCCAAGCAATGTGGGTGGGTGTTGTGACCCGATAGGCTCCATTAGAACTAATGTAGATTGAAATATTTAGGAATAAGGGTACTGAGGATTTGGAGAAATGATTAAGGAGCATATTTTCACTGACCCAAGTTCATATTGAACTAATGTTTCTCTACATATATGTTGTTACCTTGAGTCAAACTGACTTGGTGGCAATAGGTTGACCTTGCAGATTTTTTCAGTTCAAATGGAGCACATTAGATTATTTCTTTCTCATTTTTATTTTCTGGGTCTCTAGGATTTGGCCCTACTTTTCTAATGCTGTCGCCTATCCTAACTAGGGTATCTTTCCTCATAAATCTGTTCTGAAATGAAATTCTTCTTTTTCTAATAAGCCTTTTAGAGACAGTTTTTATAGATGGCACTAAAATAAGAGAAAATATCTTGGGAAGATAGAAGACCCCATCTTATGCTCTTCTTCCTGTGTGGATATCTTGTTTAAGAAGAAATGTGGAGATGTACTTTTCTCAAATATGGCTTTTCAGACTGCACCTTCCCCATATTCTACTATAGATTCATTCTGGGGCAGACAGAATTGAGGAAAAGAGGACGCTTATAATTTTGCATGGGTTCTGATGGGCCTTTTATCTGAAAGCTGTAAGTTAGGATCTGCCATGTCTATGTGTTCCATTTTTTAATATTTAGTTAATTTTTTAAAAAATTTAGGTTTATGTCTGGGAAAGAAATAAAGAAGAAGAAACATTTGTTTGGGTTGCGAATTCGTGTTCCTCCTGTGCCACCAAATGTGGCTTTCAAAGCAGAGAAAGAACCTGAAGGAACATCCCATGAATTTAAAATTAAAGGCAGAAAGGCATCCAAACCCCTGTCTGATTCAAGGTAAAAGTTGATCTGTGGCTTAGTTTTTCTCTTTTAACTTATTTATAACTAAGAATGTGTGTTCTTTAGTATATTTGAAAGTACAAGTACAGTTACTCTGATTTGTTGTACAGTATATAGTTTCTTGTTTAGACAAGATACATAGGGTTGGTGCTAGTTGTTTATCCTCCTCTTTTTTTTTTTTAGAGAGAAAAAGAGAAGTCAAATCTTTGGCCTTTCAAGAATAGGCTTTATTCATTTTGTTAGTAAACAGACACTGATCTCTTCATTTGTTTTGTTTGTTCCTTTTCATTCATTTTTCAGTATATTTTTATGGAGTGCTTACCATTTATATATATCCTAGAATTACGGAGATTAATAAGACAGATTTTAGTTTTTTGTTATTTTTTTAAAACCAGATAGAATACTGAGTGGAATAACTCAGTCTCATAAGGACAAACATTGCATAAGACCATTATTTTAAAAATGGAAGGATAAGTGAACAATGTGTATAAGTGTTTGGAAGAGGTATGAGAGAAGGAGAAAGGGCAGCAAGAGGGGAAGGAGGGAAATCACTAGCATAGCAGAGTTTAGTAGCAGATGGTGGGGTGAAGGAATAGAAAAGATTGAGTGGGTTCTTGGAAAAAAAGGAATCAAAAGTAGTTAATTATAAAATGCGGTGTATATGCATGAAACAGAATGCAAATAAGACACAATGCACATGCATGAAACACACTATATATGAATTCTTGTCTGCAAACCAACAAAAATATTAAAATTAAAAATCCCAGATAGGATTTATATTGGAGTAGGTAAGAAATGGTTATAAACAAAATAATGGTAGAGCTCATGCTATTTAGAAAAATATATACAGTTTCAGAGAAGATTATGTTGAGTAGAAATGGAGAATCTACTTTCAAAAGGAGACATAGAGAAGATTTCTTTGAGTTAACATTTAAGCTGAGACTTAAAAAATGATAATGATCGAACAATGGGAAGAAGAAAGGGAAAAATACTTTAGGTAGCAAAAGTAGCAGGTATGATGGCCCTGACAATGTCTCAGAATATGAGTATGATAGAAAATAATTTCAGGTATTGGAAAGGGCTTGATTATGTGGCCCTATAAAAATTTTGGGTTGTTTTTGAAGAGTAATAGAGAGCCATGTAATTTAAAGAAAGACTTCTCTGGATACTCTTTGAAGAATGAGTAGGTCTGTGATAAAAGAGAAAAATTAAGACTTTTGCAGATGTCAAGAGGACATTTTCTTGGGGAGGGACAAATGGTAACAGCACAAATGAGAAAACAGATTGAAGATCTCTGTTGGAGGCAGAATTGGTTGAATTTGTTAATGACTGTGTAAAAGAAGAGAAAACTAAGTAAAATGATTTCAAGTTTGAAGTATTAGAGTGTGTAATCAAGATATGGAAGAACAAATTTTTGGCAATGTGAATAGAGTTCTTTTTCATACTCATTGCTAGAGATAACTAAGTAATCATGTAATATAGGCAGTTGACTGTTTAAGCTCAGACATGAGGTTAGGACAGGTATAACACACTTGTAAGCTGATTTATAAAATCACTAAAATAAATGAACTTACCTGTGAAACAAGTTGGGAGAGAGTCTCAGAATAATATTTTGATATGATTTAGATTTTTAAAGAGATGAAGAAAGCTAAGAAATGATCTATGAATAGGAGAAATATCAGGGAAGTTTGATATGATTACCAAGATAAAGAATTTCAAGAAATACTTGAAGGCAGCTGACAGATGGACTAACATGAGAGAAAAATGCTTATTGGATATTTATTATTAGCAACCTTGATGTTGTAGGTGCCGTCGAGTTGTAACAAAAACACCTAGAAGGTGGTAAATAGAGTAAGTCAGAGTAAAGTATGATTGCATCATCACTTCTCATATATTTCAAAACTAGGCATTTCATACAAATAGGAGACCTGAGTAAATTCAAAATAGTACTATAAATTAAAAGGGATAAAAAAGAACCCATTTTAAGAATTCTGAGTATAATAGGAGAAAGCAGAAATGGTATGACTCTTTGAAGGCAGTATGCAAATGAAGTAGTAATTCAAGAGGGAACATTCAAATAATGTCCTCCTTTAAGCAGATGAACATAAATTGCAAACTGATTTTATGTACTATAAGGAAGGATCCAGTGGAGAAGAGATGGATATAAAGGAGGTAGTTGAGGACATTGTAAAATCATTGAGAAAACTGAAAGGAGGATATCTGTAGTCTATAAAGGGAATGGCCACTGATAGGAGATAATAAATACTCTTCTGTTGAGATGAGAAATGAGAAGATGAGTACAGATGCTGGTAGTTTTATAGATTTGGCACTTGGAAGGCTTTGCTTATATGGTGAATCTTTATTTTCTCAATGAAGGATAAGACAAAGACCAATAAGACTGAGAGTTTTTCAGAAGGAAATTTAAGGGGCAAGTAAAAGATATGGAAGTTATCTTGGAAAGTAAGACAGTACAGTTGTATAAGCTCAATTGTATTTCATACCCATTTGAGGTTCAAAGTAGATACTGCTTTAAGACTTCTTTACTTCATGTTACTTTCCATATTACATTCACGTTTTCTCATTCTGATCATTTTGTGAATGGTCACCCACATTATAAATGAGAAGAAAAATTACACGAATTTATTGCTGCTCTGATTGATGGGCTACTGCATTGGTGGTAGTTATCAGATTTCCCTCTGGTTTTACACTAGGAAAGTTCATTGTCTATAATGGTATCTTCATTTCCTCTGAGTCCTTTTCATGGATTGATCTTTTATTCTGAGGGTAGTTCTTTAGTCCAGCGTTTTCTTTATAATTGTTATGGCGATTATCTTTTTTTTTAAAAAAAAGAAATCCTCACAGCACTACTATCCATTTTAACCTGGAGGCTTTTAATTTTAGTTCTAATTCTAGTTCTGCCTTGTTCTCCTAGCTCTCTTCCTTTTTGCTCTTCAGACTTTATTTATACCACATCTTTAATTTGATGGCTTGAGTGGTAAATTCTTTCCTAATTTCTTCAACTATTTTTAGCCTATTACACAGTATAGTGTCCCTTTCCCCTATTTTTAAATTGAATTTTTCTCATAGCACTTAGCTTCCTGGTATTTAGTTTCTGAATATGTGAGCTGGTAGCATAGCAACATCTTTGTATTTCCGTGATATGTTACTTAATCTTTATTGAACAAGTAAAATAGATGTGTTCTGCATTTGCCATTGTTTTTTTTCTTTAGTGTTTTCTCTGACTACTGCATTTTCCCTTTTTCTATTGCTTGGTAGGAGATTTGAAGGTGCTGTTAAGATGTCCACTTGCTAATGCAAAGGTTGGTGGTTTGAATCCACTAACTGTTCATTTGGGGAAAGTTGAGGCTGTATCTTTCCAAAGAGATGTATACAGCTTTGAAAATCCTATACTGTCTTACAGGGTGACTTATGAATTGAAATAGGTTTTTATTGCTTGGTAGTTCACTTTTGTGTTTTAGCAAAGGTTTTCCTATTATTGCTATTTAAATGCCATCTGCCAAATAAATGAAAGGGTCCTTCGTTGTTCTTTCTTTATATACTGTGATTTTGGGCTTTATTAATTTTGATAGAATCATTTAAGAACTCATCTGTGTAAGCAGCCTCTGTTTGTAGCTACTGTAATAACAAAATTACCCCCCTCAGGCTAAATACGTAATCATTTTTAGTGGTCACTTGTTTAAACAACTCCTCTCAAATGATAGCAACCCAAGGTAAATAATTGAAATTTTAAAGGAATTTTTAAACCCTTCATCCAGTATAATTTTGGGGATATTTTCTTTGTCTTAGTCTTTGTTGTTGTTAAGTACCCTCAAGTCAGAACTGACGCATAGCTGACTGTCCAGCAGGTTTTCAGAGGCAGTAAATCAGAGGAGTTTGCTCGTCTTTCTTCTGTAGAACAGCTGTGCCTTCAGGTTGGCAGTGCAGCTCCTTACCACTAGGCCACCTGTAGTTGGTACATATTTTTCAGAGTTGCATTAAAGAGAAATTAAATTTTTTATATTGTAAATGTTCTTCATTAAGGAAATTCTTTAAATTAGCTTGTATTGTGTATTTTTGGATGCAGGAATGGCATCCACTTTCTAAATAACATGCCTCCCGAAACCCTATTAACTTTGATAAATATCGATAGTTGTAGAGGGCCTTCAAGCCTTTTGCTCATAGGATCGCTATGAGTAGTGCTCTTCTTGAAGGCAATCAACAACAACAACAACAATTGTGTATTTGAATAAACTTTTAGATTAAAATTATATTTCATTATTGTGATTTTTGTTACCAATAATATAAAATGTTTATATATGTCTAGTTATTATATAAGTTTTTTTAAGATAGTCTATCTCTTCCATTTCCTGTTTATTCAGAGATGAAATATAAAATGACTTTATGTTTCAGGGAAGTTAGCAATGGCCTAGAAAAAAAAGGAAAGAAAAAGTCTGTAGGTCGTCCACCTGGCCCATACACAAGGAAAATGATTCAAAAACCTACTGAGCCACCTTTGGTAAGATATGTGTTGGTATATTTTTCTCAGAGAAGAAGGATGCATAAATTTTTTAAGTTTTAGTTTACTTTAAAAGCATTCTTCAGGTGTGTTTTTGTTTTCCAGGATAAGGAATCCATTTCAGAGAACCCTACTTTGGATTTACCTTGTTCTATAGGGTAAATAGAAAATTCTTATTTCCTGGGATATTTATTTATTTATTTATTTAAAAAATTAGTATTTCTATTGTTATGTAATATAGTTGTTATACTATTTAAATTACTTTGTCTCAGGAGAACTGAGGGGCCTGCACATTCATCCAATACCTCAGACATGGACTTTACGGGTGCTTCCAGTGCAAAAGAAACTACCTCGTCTAGCATTTCCAGGCATTATGGGTAGATAATTATCTTCTTACTCATTATTACTTTTTTCTCTAGATTCTTTTTCTCTGTAAAGTGTTAAGTAGTACTATAGCAATTGAAAGTGAAACAAGCATGCCTTCAGCTGTCTCTGCAAAATAATACATGTTTCTCCAGAAGGTGTTTTATTTTTTGTTTTTGTTTTTAGGAAGCAAGATACGTCATGAATTGATATCAGAGATATAAATATGCATATTTTGTATATTGTTGTTATAAGGTACCATTGAGTTGAGTACAACTCATAACTACCCTATGAACAAAAGCTCTGAATCCTGTTCTATCCTACGCCATCCTCACACTTGCCAACACACAAGAGCCCACTGCAGCAGTCACCATGTCTCTCTACCTGGTTAAGGGTCTTTCTCTCCTTTGCCGACCCTCCACAGTCCCCAGCATCATGTTCTTCTCCAAGAAATAGCCCCTTCTACCAACATGCCAAAGTATGTGAGGTGAAGCCTCATTGTTCTTGCCTCCAAAGAGCACTCCATCTACACCCTCTCCAAGACATGTTTGTTCTCTTGGCTGTCCATGGGATGTTTAGATGCTTATTAAATGTTTGTTACATTGAATTAAACTCTCTTCTCTTTAATGATAGACTGTTGTCAGGTCCTGATTTATGGAGTAAGACCTTTTGCTGAAAATAATGCTTTCACTCTTTTTATCTTATTTGTGGTGTTATTGTATACTGTCAAGTTGAAATTGACTTATAGCTGACCCTCCAGTAGGTTTTCAGAGGCAATTGATTGCACAGGAGAAAATTGCCCATCCTTCTCGCATGAAGCATCTAGTGGATTTAAACCTTCTGTCTGGCAGTGCAACTTCTTACCACTCAGTCACCAGAGCTTCCTTCCCCCCCTCCCTCCTTTTTTTCCCTCCTTCTTGTTGTGTACCATAGAATTTGAGCCAACTGGCACTGGCAGAGATTGCCCCTCCTCCAGTGGAGCATCTGGTGGATTCAAACCGCATTGCAGTGTAGCTTCTTGCTCCTTCAGAGCTCCCTTTTAATCTTAATATACATTTAAGAAAGAGATCAAAGATCAGCTGAAGAAGAACGCAATGAAATCTAAAGTAACGAAGGCAAGTGGTAGTCAAGTTTTTGCTGGTATCCGTATCAGTAAGGATATCTACTTCTAGATCCCTAAAAATCAGAGGACATAGTGTATAAACAAAGGATGATTTAAATGCATGAGTGGATAATTTTGGCTATTTGTATTTCATAGATTATCTGACTCCAGAAAAAGAACTCGTACGGGAAGATCGTGGCCTGCTACAATACCACATTTGAGGAGGAGAAGAGGTCGTCTTCCAAGAAGAGCACTCCAGACTCAGAATTCAGAAATCGTAAAAGATGATGATGGCAAAGAAGATTATCAGTTTGATGAACTGAATACAGAGATTCTTAATAACTTAGCAGATCAGGAGTTACAACTCAATCATCTTAAAAACTCCATTACCAGCTATTTTGGTGCTGCAGGTAGAATAGCATGTGGTGAAAAATACCGAGTTTTGGCTCGTCGAGTGACACTTGATGGAAAGGTGCAGTATCTTGTGGAATGGGAAGGAGCAACTGCATCCTGACTGTAGGACTGAACATTATGTTCACTGCACTCTCATTTCTGTAGGTACAAGTCAAAGCCCTGAAGAAGCAAGGCTTTTAGTATCTTTTCTTAAAAAGAGAGGGAGAAAAAAAAGTAAAAAAAATTCACAAAGGGAGGTGATACCAGCCTTAACATGTGTACCTGTCAATGTTATGGATTTTGTCGTAAAAAGATAACTTTTAAAAATCAGAACAGAGACTTAATTTTTTTAAATTTTAAGGTTTGTAGAATGTTTCTAGGATAGGATATTAAAAATTATTCAAACCCGTGCATGGTGTTAAGATAATTTTTCTAAATATTCCATCGAGTCAGTTTTTGTGATTAGTTGTTACCAGAACAAATACATCATGTAGATAGCACAAACATTGTCTGTTTTGTTACCAAAATGTTGGAAAAAATTTATTTCAGTACCTTTTAGAGTTCATAAAGTGCAGTGTATATAATGCCTATTGAAAGATTGTAAAATAATGAAAATTTCTTTCAAGCAAAGTGTAAAAAATATATTGAGCCTGTAAATTGCTCTGTGACTAGACTTCATTGTCGTCTTAATATATTCTTTGCATGTGCATATATATACACACATAACTGTGTGCATATATATGTGTGTGATTATGTGACCTATGCAATACAAATTATGGGAATGGGCAGCTTTGGAGTATATATCCCATAATTCTTTTTTCAGGAATAGTTGCAGTATTTACACAGCAGCATTTCTTCTCAGGCTTATATTGGGTGCTGTTGCTTGCTATGTATGAAGAGGAATGTGTCAACGATTTTAGTGTGTTCTGATGATGAGTGTGAACAACAGTGTTCATGGGCTTTTAGAATACTTTTTTTTTACTCTCAATCCTTGCAACTCAGCTGTTCAGAACCTAAAACAAATTCAAATATGAACATTATCTCCTATTAGAAGTGATGTTTTCAAGGCACATTATGATTGTAAATGTCTCTTGGTTTTAGTGGTAAATCTATAGGAATCCCATGAAGATTCCTCAAATGTCTGTAGTAATTGTTAGTCATGTTTGAATAAGTGTAGTATGAACAAAGTATTTTATTGCACAGGGTTAACAAACAGTAAGTTGCCTGCTGAGGCCTCTGCTGTTTAATTACAACATTACCTCTTGTTTTTATAAAATGTACCAAGATTTAAATTGATAATTTTATTTTACATGTAAAAAAAATGTTTTTTTATCACCAGTGTTAGAGTTGTTTTCTGTTTCTTCTTGTTTTGTTTTCTTTTTTAGCCAAAGAGTAAACAGAAGGATATCATTATATTGGTGGCTATTCATTTTATTCTTATAAGTAATTGATGAATTTTAACCTGAGAATTGGGGTATTGCCACCAAACTGAAAAATAATGTATAGTGGTTACAGAGTGGTAAAATATGGGTTAGTAATTATTTATTCCATTGATTACTTATTTGACTATTTTTAAAGAAACTTGCTTTATTTCTCTAAACATCTTCAAAAGATGACCTTTTCTTGTCACATTATAGCCAAAAGAAGCAGAGAACTTCCTTATGTCCTGTATTTGGTTCCTGGTAGGCCAGGTATAAATGAGCTTTACAAAAGTGCAAATTAAAAACTGTCATTTCTGTTTACCTCCACCAAAACTTGATTTTTCCCCCCTAGCTATTAATTTAAAGTTGCCTTTTCTGCAGCTGCAATATTTTGAATAACACACAGAGTTTGTGTTGATTTTTGAATGTTTGTTTCTATCTGGGGGTAATGGAAAATGTAAGTCCCGTGTAACCTTTTCCACTCCACTCCACTTGTATCATCTTATTTTATTTTCCCCAAAGTCTCTTAATTCTAACTAAACACCAGCAGTATTTTAGTAACTATCTTTAACATACTTGGAAGATGATTTATCAAGCTGAACTGTCATTAGTCGTAATTATTGTGAATGTCTGTCTTATTATTATCATGGTGGTTCACATGACTCTGATGTTCAGTTTGTATTTTTGGAATTGCTTTACTTAGAACTAAAACAGACCAACATTAAATGTGTGTATTTTTAAAAGAGCTAATGAGTTTTGCTTTTGTATTTGCTTGAAAATACACACGAATGCAGTATTTAACTGCCTTTAGCCAGTGAAGTAAGGATTTTCCAGTTTTATTGCTTTAATTGTTGATGTTGTTGATTGTCGAGTCTAGCATGACTCCTAGCGATTCCATGAATAAAAGACCTAATGCCTTTCTATAATTACTGTTTTCTCCAAGTTCATAGAGTTTCTACAGACATGTGGTTTAGGAAGTGGATGCCAGTTCTTCTTCCAAACCTGTTTTACCTCTTTAAGTGGTACAGCAGTTTGTCTTTTTGCTGTATTGATTAACTTGGAGTTGAACGTTTATAAATAATCTTTAGAAAATGTAGATTTCATTTTTCTCTTGTCTCCTAAACAATATTAGTAATTATTGCATATTTATGTTAATTAGTCCTTTGAAGGAAACACACTCCAATTTTCAGCCAGCTTGTACACTTCATATTTAAAAGGCAATATATCTCCTTCCTACCTTTTTTTTAAAACTAAAAAAGGAAATTCAGACTTTGTATTCTAGTTTTTTCTTTTTCTTTTAAAACTTAGATATAGATACGTATATTGAAAGATACCAGGGTTCACATAAAAACATTTTTTTCTTTTCCCAGTCAGCTTTGCCTATTGGTTACGGAGAGAGAAGATGCAAAAAAATGGTATACCTTACTAATTTTTATTATTTATTTTTTATAACAAATTTTATTTTTATTTATTTTTTTATAAATACTCTGGTACTAAATGGTAAATACAGATTATTAGGCTCTTAGTGGACCAAACTAGATCAGAATTACAAATTCTGATGTAGGAGTGATAATATCAGCTAGGTATATTTTTTGTTACCAAATGTTTAACATAAATGAATTTTCACTGGATATGTGAGATTCCTTCTCTTTTTGCAAGGTATTTTCAAGTGTTATATATGTTTGGTTTCTGTCTTAAAATCAGATTTCTTTTGTTGCTGAGAATAGGACTAATTTTGAGTTATTTTCCTGAGTTTCTGTTGGGTACTGTTTTGGTTGAGATATGATCTTACTTGCATAGTTTTAACAGAATGTTTCATAATTTGTGGAGTTGTCTGAATGAGGATGATGTGATGGCAAAGGATGATTTCCATGCAAATTTGGGAAATAGTGAAAAATGCCTCTGTTAGGGGATCTCAAATTATATTTGAGTATCTCTGTGAATGCATGTCCCCCAAAGTCTCCATTGGTTTTTTCCTAAGGTAATTGATCAGCCATGTTCTTTCCTAAGGAAAATAAAAATGTGACAATATAAAATACTAGCTTTATCTGATCATTGATGCTTTCTTAATTGGTAATAGTTAAGAAATCTGCCATATAAATTTGGATACGGAAGAAACGGCAAACGGATGCATTAATAGGTAGACTGTGAACATATAAAGTATTTGTAACTTTTAAAGTTAGCATTTCAGAATGTCTTAGATTAAGGTTGTTATGTTTTGTTGACTTGGAACCAACTCATAGTTGACCCTCCAGTGGGTTTTCAGTGGCCGTAAATTGCACAGGAGGAGAGTGCCCATTTTTCTCCTTTGGAGCAACTAGTGAATTTGAATGACCTGGCTTTGGCTAGGCCCAGGCCTAGAACTAACCTACTAGGCCACTAGAACTCCCTCTTAGAGTAAATAGCGAAATCAAAATACTAAGCTGTGTTTATATTTGATATTAGAATTACATTGAAAATTAACTGGTTCTTTTATTTTTTCCTGTTTCTTGACTTCATCTCTACCTAAAAAATCCCTCCTTACTAGTTCTCCTCGTATTTCCTCTTTGTTGGAGATGAAGAGTTTAGAGCCTGGATGTATATCATTTAAAAAAAAAATTCTAGTGATTACATTTAATAAGCACACAAATTAATAAAACCTTCACAGCTGATAATGGAGGACTGTTTTTGTACTTGGATCAAACAAAAATATATTTTGCCTGAAATCATTAGTCTTACTATTTCTTATATTAATAGTTCCTTTTTCTTTTCGTCTCATAATATGTATTTTCATTGAGAATGATAATTCTTCTAAACAGTCAAATATTGGTTCATAGGGTACCAAAAATAATCTTAGATTTTAAGTAGTTTGTGGCACCTTCCCATGCCCCAAGCTCAACACTACCAGACTAAAATCTCATTCTTTAGTAATTAATTATGTTTATTAGGTTTTCTTGGATGTTGTGCTTGCTATTATTTGTTTAGGTCAAAGAAGATTCACTGTGTGTAAGAGCAGTGTTACAAAAGAATGATGACTACACAGTTCTGATTCTGAGTATCTCAATCATTGGCTGCTCTTAAAGTTATCTTGCAAGAAGTGACTCACTCAGATGTGCTTATTGGCTTCCCTATGGCTGTTATTTATGTTTGATCTTCAGTGCTTTGATGTCTTCTTGGGCTTTGAGAATTAAAGCTAGTTTAATTTATAAATTTTACTCAAGTTATTTCACACCCAAATGCTTAGTGCTAAAAAGAAAAAAAGTGTTGACAGTATCTGAATGGATTAGTTAAAAGTAGTTTTCTTGTCAGCAAATACGTACACCAAAAATAATTTTTAAAAAATTAAAATTTTTAAGTATGTTGCTTTAGTATAAATACTACATTTTTGGATGATTCCCCACCCCCCAAATGGGTTACATTCCTATTCTTATGTAATTGTATAAATCTCTAACTTGCCTATAATTTGTAACTTGATACACGATAATTTATATTAGTAAATAAATGACAAAGTTACATACAGTTTTAAATTTAATGTTAATAGCTATATCCAATATTAGCAGTCTTATAAGCAATAATTTTTAAAATATTTCCTCTCACTGAAATGAAAGATAATTTTTCCTATAAAGAATTTGAGACAGTAACAAGCAGATAAGAATTTTGTGAGATTTGGATCCCTTTTGAAAATACATTAAGCTTGCTTATAAAGTTCAAGTAGATGAAACTTGTTGGAAAAACTCTTGGGGAGGGAAACCAATTGATTCAGCTACTATTTATAGAAACAGATTTGCTGGGGTTATTTTTTTTTCAC